GGTCAGCCCGGTCTCTATTTCAATTAATCCCATATGTTATGTTGTTCACTTTACGCGTTTCTCACTTTACGCGGGCCGCCGTGGGTTCAATTATCCGCGTAAAGTGAGGGTTCACTGTATGTATATGTATATATATATATATGTATATGTATATATATATATATATATATATATATATATATATATATATATATATATATATATATATATATATATATATATATATATATATATATATATATATATATATATATATATATATATATATATATATATATATATATATATATATATATATATATATATATATATATATATATATATATATATATATATATATATATATATATATATATATATATATATATATATATATATATATATATATATATATATATATATATATATATATATATATATATATATATATATATATATATATATATATATATATATATATATATATATATATATATTTCGGAAAGGAAACAACGGGCACCTTGGCACCGTCTTTATTCAAGACATCTTCGGAGGCAACTGGATTACATGGACAGAGAGAGGCTTAAATATACAGGGTGACCTTAAAAACATGAGGTCAGGTCATAATGATGTCATCCACTAATCCCTACACCAACACACACGTAGAGGAGCTTAAGAAAAGGGGGGTGACGTGACTAGTCAGGTCAGGTAAAAAATAAGGGACCCACAAAATAACTATCATACAACTATATCAAAGGTTTTCAAAGCATTTTTAACCTTGGGCCACTGACAAATAAATTTATGTAACATATTATCAGTTTTGAACTGACCATCACTAAGGTTTATTGATTTCAATTCCTTAATCAAACTAGCTTCAACCAGAAGTCTTTCTGTGACACAAGATGATTTAAATACTTCTAAGCTTTTTTCCCAAGCAATGGGGTGATTATTATTCCTAACATGGACGAACAAGGCACTGCTTTCAGATGCTGTTCTGATATTATACTTATGTTGTTTGATTCTGAGCTGCAGTGTTTTTCCTGTCTGTCCTACATAATTACAATTACATTTGCTACATGGAATACAATAAACACTTCCATTTACATTCAAACTTGGGTTATATATATATATATATATATATATATATATATATATATATATATATATATATATATATATATATATATATATATATATATATATATATATATATATATATATATATATATATATATGTGTGTGTGTGTGTGTGAGTGGAGTGTGTGGAGTGTGTGTGTGTGTGTGTGAAGTGTGTGGTGCAAAATAAGGGATGTTTATACTCAAATTAATCGCTATCTTACAAGAATTCCAGCAATGCAAATTATATTCTCGTAAGTCAAGTCAATGATATTTTATAAGGTTAATCTCTCATTGTGAACTAGTAAGAGGTTGAAGGATCCAATGGGGATAAAAGTGATCGTGTCACCCCCTCCCCTCACTGTTTGTTAAAAGTACTGGCCCATTCATGATACGTACAATAATATGCATTTGTTTTTTATCAATTAGTAAAGATACGTTACTGTAATAATCTGTGCATTATTAATACATGTACCCTTCATATACAATACAGTATAGTACTATGTATATACCTCATAGGTAAAAAATAGTGTCATTCAAGACATTCAGGTCATAAGAGCCACTAATCCCCACCCAACACTGGGGGACCTGACGTTGCATCAGGTCAGGTTAGCAACGTGACCCAATAATCTCACACCCAACCTTCATCGCAAGTGTTAAGACATAATTAGTTAAGTATTGCAGTCAATTGAGTGAAGTGAGTAACAAACGAGGCGATCAGTGGTGAAGAGGATAAAAGAAACGGCTCTACCCTGTTTTCACTCCCGTATCATATAAAGCTTTTGTTTTATAATACATTTATTTAACCAAAGTTTTAGATAAAAGTATTCAGGATTATTTTGATTAAAAAAATGGTGTGTAACGAAATTAGAACCGATTTTACTGACTCCGGTATCAACATTTCTTATGTATTTTTTATAAGAGAATGGAATTCCCATCACTATATCATATAGAAATATTTTGTTAAAGGATATCTTATTGGAAACATTTCGTAGAGAATTTATTAAGGATCATTATGGTATCAAATTCATCTCCCTATCACAATTAGCCACATTTGAGTGAGGAGGGGGGGACTAACCGCTCGACACTTCCCCCCCAAAAAGGTTGACTCTCACACTCTTCAGCCAAATATTACACACCAACATCACACCCATGCACCCCAACAACCCCACCCACGCACTCTAGCAACCACACACAAGCACTCCAACAACCACACAAACACACTCCAACAACCACACACACATGCACTCCAACCACACACACATGCACTCCAACAACCACACACATGCACTCCAACAACCACATGCCTGCACTCCAACAACCGCACCCACGCACTCCAACCACCACTCACACACCACTCACACACACACAAGCAACACACACAACGCACTCCAACAACCACACACACACACTCCAACAACCACACACACACGCACTCCAACCACACACACGCACTCCAACAACCACACACATGCACTCCAACAACCACATGCACTCCAACAACAAACCGACACACACTCCAACCACCACACACACGCACCAACAACCACACACGCACTCCAACAACCACACACACACTCCAACAACCACACACACGACTCCAACAACCACACACACGACCCAACAACTACACACACGCACCAACAACCACACACACGCACTCCAACACACCACAACCAACACACAGACTCCAACACACACTCAGACACACCACCACACACAGACACACTCCAACCACCACACACATGCACTCCAACAACACACACAGACACACCCAACCACCACACACATGCACTCCAACAACCACACACAGACACACAACCACCACACACATGACACACTCCAACCACCACACACATGCACTCCAACAACCACACACAGACACACTCCAACCACCACACACATGCACTCCAACCACACACATGCACTCCAACAACCACACACAGACATACTCCAACCACCACACACATGCACTCCAACAACCACACACAGACACACTCCAACCACCACACACATGCACTCCAACCACCACACACATGCACTCCAACCACCACACACATGCACTCCAACAACCACACACAGACATACTCCAACCACCACACACATGCACTCCAACAACCACACACATACCCCTAAAAAGGGAATTAAGACAGCAGACATAAGGAGTGAGGGTCTTATTCTGTGACACATTTGCACATGTGTGACTGCAAGTTAAATATCAGCTGTTGAGGAGCGCTTGGCAACACTCATTTCCACTCCATCTCTCTAATTACCCACACCTTTCTTCTTTCTCTCTCTCCATATTTTAAAATGTTATGTAACGTAATGTTGAAGGAAAACAACTTTGCTCATTTATACTTATACAGTGGTCCCTCGGTTAACGAACACAATTCGTTCCAGAGGGTCGTTCGTTAAGCGAAAATTTTGTAAACCAAAACCATCGTCTCAATGAGATACGTATTGGGTAATTGGTTCCAGCTCACAGAAAAGTACATACAAAGTAAAAAAAATAATGCAGTAAAGTATACACTTACTTTGAGGTGTATATGTGGAAGGTTCCTGGTTGTTGTTGTTGATGATTTTCTATAAATCAACACTGCACTGCGCTATATATTATCAATATGTTAACTAGATTTCAGAATGACATAATTTCAATGTAAAAATGCAAAAATATTCAAGACACAAACAAAATAGATGTTCACTCCACTGTCAACAAAGTCCAACTGACGCCTGGTGGCTGAGTCAAGCATCTGATGGGCGCACAAAAAACTAGTTCCCTGTACTACATATATTAACAATATGTTAAATAAATGTTAAAATATCTAATAATTTTAATATAAAAAATGCAAAATATTAAAGAGCACAACTTTATTGATATTTACTCCATTAGAAACGAATGTAAACATAGAACAGATTACTGAATTGGCAGACTAGCCCATCAGCTGATCAGCTGATGCTCACAACAAAGCGTGATGTTCGTAAGGATTTCATTAATCGAAGTTTTGTTCATTAACCAAATTGAAGATCCTTATGGGAGGTAATTCGTTAACCGAAATTTCGTTAATCGAACTGTTAGTTGACCGAGGGACCACTGAACTTATCACAATCTCTCTAAAAATGCATTAGATTTTGTGTTTATTCAAGACATCTTCAGGTCATGAGACCCACTAATCCCCCGGCCAAGAAAGGGTGACCTGACATTCCATCAGGTCAGTAATATGAGACCACTAATCCCCCACCCTGCCTCGACCTGACAGTGCGTCAGGTCAGGTACACGAGACCCACTAATCCCTCACAGCTCCATGCGAGTGGAAAATACCAGTCTTTGCTGTAACAACTTCATTCACACCCATATCATATAGTTTTTAATTTTCAAATACATTTATTTTACCAAACTTTTAGATAAACTATTCTGGATTATTTTAGTAAAGAAATGGAGTTTCTAACTTAATTCAAACTGCATTTATGGACTCCGGTAGTTAGACTCAAGGAAAACATCCCCAGCAACATTCTGGGGAAGTGGGCTAGTGTCTGTGTGTGCAAGATGTCTAGTTTAGACTCCCGTAAACTAAGATTCCAGGGATAAGGAATTTTGGGGGGTTTGAGAAAGTCGTCTGGTTAGCCGAAAATCTTTCATCCCCGGAAGTGGTCTGCACCAATTGTTGCAGCTAATGGGGATATCACTGTATTGTATACCGTTTGTCACTCTTGATTTTTTTTTTTTTATTATTTATTTTAATTTGTTTTATTAATTATTATTACATCCCCCTCCCCCTTCCAGGCCCTGAAGTGGGTCAGTGACCTGTGCCCGGGTGGACTAATCCCCGTAAAAAAAAAAATAGTACTGCACAGTACATTTAAAAATATCAAATTAGACAAGACAGAAGAAAATTGCCTCAACTCACCTTGTATAAAGTTGCAAGTACTACCGATGGGGTATAGTTCAATGCAGGAGTCATTGCACTTCCCCACAATATGGAGGTTATGAAGAAAATTGCTCCACGCACAATATGAGGATCAGTAATTTCCTGAATTATGTGGCACAGTATACATAAAGCACTGTCACCATAGTGTGTCCCGAGGAGATTACTCATAATCTGAAAATGAACATGTAGGCTATATAAAGTAAAATCACATACAGTATTGCAGTAATTACAATGTTGTACTGTATATGGTATATCCTAGTACAGGTTGTACCTCTCTAATCCAGCAACCTCGGGACCTGACCGGTGCCGGACCATGGAAATTCACCCTTTTCCTGGATAGATAGTGACTTGTGCTTACGCTTGGAAGCACTGGCACCACTTTCACTGCATCGAGGTCTCTTTGAAGATATATTGAAGGGTTAAATGTTGTACAGTAGGTTCTCAAATTTTTGGGAGTTTTTAATTCAACATTTTTTATTTGGACACAAAAAAAATACACAATTTAAAATTTTGATGGCAGAAACTCGAATTTCGACGGGTTTGAGCGGCCCGCCAACGTTCAGACATGCACAAATCGTGTAAACAGTGTCATTTCTCTTATGTGCAAAAGATTCATTATTGTTTATTACTGAATGTCTTTTATTTAATTAATTTTTGTGTGTGCAAAATGAACAATACAACTAATTAATAATATGTAGAATATTAAAACACACGAGGAAACGAGACGGGATTGTTTTCGTTGATTACAAACCAGTGACTGACTGGATCTACATATAAAACTGAAGAAAATAAGACCCTGGTTGTAGCTGTTGTAAAATTAATGTAAAAAATTAATATGGTTGTTTTAAGATATGTTATTTAATGTTAATAAATGGAACAGTATAAGTAGCTAACCATTAATGGTAAAGAAAAAAGTGAGCTCACATATTTAAGTGCGCACATGTGAAAACATATCGTTATTACTATACCTAAGAATATGAAAGCAACACTTATTTACTGTTCATATTTGTTTTAATTAATGTTTCTGAATTTTTTTATTGAATTAATGTTTATGTGCGCAAACTGAACAATACAATTCATTAATAATACGTGGAATATTAGAACACACGAGGAGAAGAGACGGCATTGTTTTCGTTAATGTTTACAAAACCAGTGACTGACTGGTTCTACATATAAAACTGAAGAAAATAAGACCCTAGTTGTAGCTGTAGTAAAATTATTGTAAAAAAATTAATATGGTTGTTTTAAGTAATGTTATTAAATGGAACAATATAAGTAGGTAGCTAACCATTAATGGTAAAGAAAAAAAGTGAGATAACGTATGTAAGTGCGCACATGTGAAAACATTTCGTCATTGCTATACCTAAGAATATGAAAGCAACACTTATTTACTGTTCATATATATTTTAATTAATGTTTCTCAATTTAAAACAAAAATTCTACCCACCAGTGGTGGTAAAGTTGAAAACACAAGGACAGCCAATGTTGTTGCATGTGTTTTTACTCGGATGATGTATGCTCAACTCTAGCTGAAGCTGTAGAACATAAGAACTTTTCTGTGTTGTTTTTAGTTTTTATTTAATTTTATCTGTGTTATTTTCATTGGTTTATTAGGATGTTGCTTTATTACAGGTAGTAATTCGCCAAAAAATTAGGGTAAATAAGGCAAAATTTAGCCAAACATCGAAAGTACCAGATTCAAATTAATTTTCTCCATGGGCAAACTAAAATCGCTCCGGACCACAGGAGTTCCCAGACCACAGAATGCCAGACTAGAGGGGTACAGCCTGTAAAATACAACACATTGAAAAAAAAGTTAATATTCTAGTAAAACATCATGTTTTGGATTCTAAGACGAGAAACAAGATGAGTGATTTCCATAACCACAATATTCAACTAACCTTGAAAACCATTTTTGTGACCTGGGGCACATTGACAATCCTAGTGAGTGCAGAAATAAGTTGAGCAAGAGCAGAGGATGGAAGGATACTGTAGGCAATGATGGACTCCAGGACATGAAGACACAAAACTGCCTCCTCTTCACTTTTGGCTTGAAGAAGTTGAGTCACAACATGCCTACCAATACCAATTGATTGGCATTACATTAGCATATAAAAATCATACTTTAAGGGGAGTGTCTGGCTGAAGCACAAATATCATTAATAATTGATCACTCAATATCAATTTCCTGTCAGCAATTAAGGACACCAGAAACATTGTTGCTATACCCCTAAATCGGTTCTCCCCGATACCTGATTCCTCCTTTGTACCGTATTCATATCAAATTTTAAAATCTTACTTCTCCATAACTTCTTGCTAGATAGTTGAAATTTATGTGGGGTATAGGTAATATACTGTACTGTTCTTGAATGTGCCATATGGACATTTCTGATTATCGCTTTTGTTTTGGGTACATGAATTTTTTCCAAACTTGCCATTTTTTTATCAAAATATTTAAAGATAAATCAGGAAGTAATAATCTAAGCCAAATATAAATCAAATCTATAAGTTCTGCCATGCACAATATGTTATTCTACTACAGTATTTAGTTTTTGCTTTTTTAGAATTGGCCCGTAAATGGCCGAGCCTTAGGGATTTTAAGATTAGAAAAACTCGTTTTGAGATACAGGCCGGTAAGGGTGGTGCAAGAGCAACACATTGTTGGAACCCACTCTCGCTTCTTTTGTGGGTAACTGAGAAGTACAAGCAGCCTCAGAGTTTCATCCTGCTGCTAGCTAGCTGAGAGATGTGCCAGATACTGATTTTTATCAAGTGATTGGTGTTATTTTACACCAAAATATTATAAATACTTTTCTACAGCTTTTGCTACGTAAACAGAAGGGCCCTCTAAATGAAGGGGGAGGGGTAGAACAATCATGCATAGCTACGTAAATTTTACGAATTACAATCAAAACACGTCGGCAGATAGCCATAGGCAACAGCTTTCTTCAGGAATTTTTCTGAATATTTCAGTAATTTTCTGATTTTCATCGTACAGTATTTTCAGCCGGCCGCTGCCCTTAAACAGCCACCAAAAACAGTACCTCCTTTATTGTAGAGGAACAGCAATCTCCACAGGTGGTTTTGGCACCATCATGACTAACAATAAACACAACATGAAATTCTGGGTACAGTTGGTCCTCATATTACGCGGTTAATGTAACCCGGAGGGTACCGCGGAAAGTGAGAAACGCGTAAAGTGAATAACATAACATATGGGATTAATTGAAATGGAGTCCAGGCCGATCCCCAAACTCCACTTTTTGACGACACACAACTATGTTGTAGTAAAAATATTATCTTAACTTTATGATGGCATGCACACACAATTAATAATTAAGAGAAATATCAATAATATTAGGTTTTTTAACACTTACATTAGTAGAAAAGATGGCTGGGCACACGGGGATGGGCGGTTGGTTCCGAGGCAGAGGGCAGATTATTGGCCCTCACCTGTATCACTTGTATCAATTGTATCACTATCCACCACAGAGGCTTGCAGGGCCTCTTTGTCAAACCCCCCAAAGTTCATATAAGTCCATATCGTCACTATAATTATCACTATCACTGACTTGGGCCGGCTGTAGTGGGTGGCGGGTGAAGAACTGGTCATGTTTTGATGACTGGGCGACCTTGTGCGCACCATTTTCGCGCCTCTTACACAACATGGCGGATGGCGGGAGGTTTGGATCCAAAAATGGCGCGGCTTGCCAGCCGCTCTCCGCGTAATGGGGTTCACGACCGCGGAATGTGAAAATGTTAGGTTCTGGCAAGGCACCGCGTTAACGGTGAAACACGGAATGCGGGACCGCGTAATATGAGGACCAACTGTACAAATGAGTGGTGCCTTGCATCCTATACAAAACATAAGTTATTACATTCTTTCTCCCCTAACAAAAATAGTTTTAAAGCTTATAAACTAAAATTTAAATGTAAACTATAAAACCAGTCGAGTGGGCTTGTGAGCAACCCGACCCGACCTGGTAATTGTACTGCAGGAACCTTTTGATGCAGTACTTACTGGATTCTTAAAATCTACAATTAACTTGTCAAGATGACGGCAGGTTGGCAATACCAGTGCACAGCGGACGGCCAGGGAAGGCTCAAAAAACTTCCCAATGAACGCTAACTATTCTTAAGAGGCAACTTGATGCTAATCAGTGGTGGGCACAGCTAAACGAAAAGTTAGCTTCGCTAACCACTAATCTGCAAACTAAAAAGTTAACTTCGCTAACGCTAAACAGCTAAAAAATTAGCGGAAGCTAACGCTAACCGCTAAATTTTATTACAGTATATGAACTTAGCTTCAGTTTTTTTTGGGGGGTGGGGGGGGGGGCTCTATAACCCTTAAAACAAAACTAGAGAGCTGAAATTTTCATATGTTCTCTTGTAACTTAGACATAGAGCTTTCCAAAAAGGTATAGCATGCCAAGATCAGATGATGATCAAGGTGTACACAAATAATTAAATGAACAAATGAAATTAAACATTAGTTTACAATCAAGTTTCAACATACACTTTATAATCTTTATTTACTGTACGAAAAGACAAAGTATTAAACGAATCCAAAAACTAAAGTAATGTATAGCATAGGTAGCAAATAGCATCATGCCAAGATCAGATGATCAACTTATCAAGGTGTACACTGTACACAATTTTACAAATAATTAATTTGCATTCTCATACAACTGTAAGGGCAGAAACGATCCTCCGGCTAGTTACCGCTGCTAACTCGCTCGTTTGCTGGTGCAGACGACACTTGGGGTGGTTGGACGGAGGTGATACCGGCAGCGACTATCTCCGCCACGAGGAGATTCAACCCAGCCGCCATACCGTCAGTATCTAGCTACCCTGCTGTCCGTCAAATTCTGGCTGTGATCTCATCATAGGTCCTGGACTCGTGGGCTGTGTTCCCAGACCTTCACCTATCAACTGCCAACTCTCTGGTCATCTACCACTACCGCATACCACGACCATCAGTTCATCACATTCCGTCGGTGCCCCGGTGTTCTCCTGCCTTTTCAAGACGTTGCTGAGTGTGGAGTGAATGGACGCTTCCCTACCCTGAGTGTGCATCACCGTGTTCCAGAACCTTCCCCCAGGGCCACTGCCGTAGGAAATATTTGTTCATTGTTGCTTCCATTAATTGTTTGACTCCCGTAATTATTTGATGATTGTTGAGTGGTGTCAGAGTTTTGTTATATTTTTATAGTAAAGAGATGCCAATCTCTAACGGTTGTTTGTTATTCCTCGGAAAACCATGGTCCTTGACTTTCCTTTATTAAGATCCTGATTAGCCTGGTAAGGGATTTCTATCCCTAAGTCCTAGGCCTTTACAAGTGGCGACCTTGCCAGGATTGTCTCTGACCTTTGGTTTCTGAGGTTTAACATTCGTTCCGGTGTTGTTGTAAGTCGCCGTGAGCGCGCCACCTTGCTGTCTGTGGCCCGGAAGCAAGTGTTGTTCAGTGGTTATCCCTTCCTTCTGTGTGCTAATTTTGTTGCTCTCCCTTGTACGTGGGGAAGTTAATTAGTGTTGGTTGGGGTGCACTGTGGATGCTGTCATAGCATATATGTTGTTGTTTCACCTGGTGCGGTTTCGTTACCCTGAGGTGATTCAGCTGGGCTGGGTGCGGAACGAGGTTCCCTCCAGTCGGATCAAATCATTTACTGGTTTGATTGAGCCACTAGGTGAGTTACCTTTGGCTATTTGCGGGGTAAGTTGTTCGTTTTTTTCCTTTGTTCTTGGCCTTTCGGATCATTATGTCTGCTTTTGAGGTGTGGAAAGGTCAAGCGGTGGCCCTGGGTCTGACAGGTAATGACATTGGTCAGTATGTGGTCACCCAACAGAATGCCGAGAGAGAGGAACGTCAGAGAGCGAGAGAGGAACGTCAGAAAGAGAGAGAGGTGGAGGAACGCCAGAAAGAGAGAGAGTTGGAGGAACGCCAGAAAGAGAGAGAGTTGGAGGAACTTCAGAAAGAGAAAGAAAGAGAGTTCGAATTAGCTAAGTTGCAGGCAGAAAAGGACCTAGAACTGGCTAGGATTAATGCTTCAAGTAGACCAGCATCCTCTGGCCATATACAGGACAATGTGGTAAAACCCAGCTTGCCTGTGTACCGTGAAGGAGAAGACATCGCCTCCTACCTTGTTAGGTTTGAGCGGGTAGCTGAGCTGCTTGGTGTAGCCCCAGATAGCTATGCTGTAAGGTTGGGTAGCCTACTGAGTGGTAAGCCGGTAGAAATTTACACGTCCCTGTCTGCCGACATCACCCGAGATTACCTCTTGTTGAAGCAAGCTCTCTTGCGAGGATTTTGCAAGACTTCTGACGGTTATCGTGCTGATTTTCGCAGAACGAAGATTAGAGAGGGAGAAACGTACCAGCAGTTTTCGATTCACCTGGGTCGTTTATTTCAACAATGGCTGGAGACATCAGGGGTTGAAGAAACCTTTGAGTCTCTCTCTAATTTCATGATATTAGATCAGTTTTTGTCTTCTCTACCTCCAGACTTGAGAATTTTCATCAAAGAACACCAGCCAGCGACGCTTGGAGAAGCTGTGCATCTTGCCGACAACTGGGCGTCTGCTCGCAACGCCTACCCCAAGTCTTCCCCTCCTGTAGTGAAGATTGCGAAGCCTCCATCCTCCGAGGAACCATCCCCAGGAGTACACAAGAGTAGTTCACCAGCCGTGCGGTGTCACAGCTGCGGAGAAGGGCACATTCGTTCTCGCTGTCCCAGGAATCCCCTCGCCTTCAAGACTGCTGACACTCAACCCAGCAACAAGGTCGGATTCTGTTTGGAGGTCAGGAGCTGCCCCCGTTATTGTGTCAGTGGAACAATCAATGGGTCTAGGGCATCTACTTTCATCAGGGACACTGGTTGCTCGTGCATTATTGTCTCTGAAGAAGCCCTGCCTGATGCTGACATCTCCAACTGCCCGAAGGTTAGTGTCGCCGATTATTTAGGTCGTGTTGACCAGTTCCCTGTTGTTAGGTGCTACCTGCGTTGCCCCTATTTCACTGGTTGGTCTAATGTGGTAAGAGCTCCCATTAAATTTGCTAGTGCCCTCATTGGTAATGTTCCCGGTGTTCGTGA